ATTCTGAGTTTTGGTGATTTTCCCAAAATTGGCCACGAGGCGCAGCAAGTTGCGGGACTAGGTGACTTGCACCATATTAATAATAGCAAAACTTTTCCCTTTAATTTTTACAAATTGATAAAAAATTCCTAACCAAAAAAAAAGACAAGGAACAAAAATAATACTTATTTGTAAAAAATTATTAAAATTATTACAAATAATAATAATATTATTTTGATTGTTAAAAAAATAATAATTGTTTGATCTTTTCTTAATAATTTTAATATTTCATCATTATTTTTTTCTTGCTTTTTGTCTTTATATTTAATTAATATATTCTAAAATTGTTAAAATTGTAAAATTATTGTTTTGTACAACATACCATGTTTTAGGATAAAGTTTTTTTGCCATCACTGTTTGTCTTATATCTAAGATGATATAATCTTTCATTGGTATTAGAGAGTACTTGCCATCTAGATAGAAATTTCAGCAGTCAATAGATTATGTCTAATTATATATCTATTAAAAAATTATATTCTTTTCTCCATTTACCTTCTTTGAATCTGTTATAGTGTTCCTTCATCCCCACTCCATCAATAAGCAACTCGATCCCCCACCCATACTTTGGAATATAAAGGTCAATTATTCCATCATCACAATACATTCTTCCTACTTCTAATGAAATATTTGCTTTTTCATACAAATGTTCTTTTAATGCACAATATAATTCGACCTGCCAAAGTCTTTCTAATATTTTTTTACCATCTTTTGACTTTCCATGGCTATTTAAAAAAGCATTTGAATCAATTTTTGATAGTGCTTCTTTGATTAATTCACATAATGTGAATCCATCATCATTTTTTTCATCATATAAAGGTGTTGATGATGGTTCTGTTGGTGTTGATGATGGTTCTGTTGGTGTTGATTATGGTTCTGTTGGTGTTGATGATGGTTCTGTTGGTGTTAATGATGATTCTGTTAGTATTGATGATGATTTTGTTGGTGTTGATGGTGATTCAGTTTGTGATGATTCAGATGCTGATGGTGATGATGGTTCAAATGACGATAATTGTAAAAGGACATTTTTCTATTATTAGATAAAAACTATTAAGTAATTTTCTTTAAAAAAAATTTAATGTTTATATTGATTGCTTTTCAGTAAATAACCAAGCCATAAACATGGGTTGGTCACCAAGCCATAAATATGGATCAGTTCTCAACAAATTGAAGCCATAATAGGGTCAACAGTCATCATTAATAAGAATGATTTTTTTTTTTTCATCACTGTATAATTATATAATTAATATATATATTAACAAAAAAACTAACTTTTTTAAATTCTTGTGCAGCACTTTTGTTGGCGTCACTTTCATTTTCATCTTTTATAATATTTCCTATTTGTCTTTTATAATGAATATTTATTTCACTATAATCATCATATCCAAGTATTTTCATAAAAGAACAGAAAGATTTGAAATCCCATTCACTATGTGGCTTGAATTTAAAATAGTTTCTCATAAATATGCCAACACCCATTTTTTATTGTAACAAGTAAATCATTTGAAAATTTAGAATAGAGATAGAACATTACCAGACACATTCGTAATATTATTTCTTTGTTTTAGATGAATAGATAGATGGATAAGATGGATATAAATAAGTTAGTGTACTGTACCACACTGAATTCTAAATATAGTAATTTTGATATTGACCATTATTTTTCGTTTATAACCAAGAATCTAGGTCTTGAACTTGGGGATGATTGCTATGCAGCAAGGATGCAAAATGAATTTTCAAAGACAATTTTCATATAAAAAATTGGTTGTAATTGATGAAAGCTATCATGACTACTTAGTATTAGTATTAGGGAGTTTCTCATTAATATTGTCACCAATTATTGTTTGGGAGAGCATGTTAATTGATGATAACAATATAAAATTTATGATTATGTGAATCAGAATGAATTGGCTACTAATGAATTAGTTTTATTAGTGAATAATTTTGGTTTAGTGATTTAAGAAAAACATTTTATTTAGTCGAAACTAATTTATTAACTTATTACTAAGTTAACTTTAAAACTTTATTACAATGTTAAAGTTATTTTACAAGCAAGTCAAATTTGAGCTTCTTTTATACAATTAAATTAATTAGTAACAACTTCATTGCAATCTAGCATTCTAGCCGCGATATTGCACTTTAATTGTGACATAACATTCTAACCGCGATGCTAATTTCTAAATAAAGTTAACTAATTTCGACGTTATACGAATAAAAATAAAAATGTAATACAAATAAAATAATAAATATGTAAATGTTCATAATAATGTAATATTTGGACATTTATTTTCCGTATTTTATTTTTTATAGAGATATAAGCCGGAATAATTTTTATAATAATCTATTATTATTAATTATCATTTTAATTATTATTTTATTATTTATTAATAATTGATTATTTATTTATTATTATTGTTAATTATTATGTGGAAGGAAGTTTTTAATTTTTAATATTAATATTAAAATCCGCACATTAGATTTGTTAAAAAATTTTGCGCACACAAAATTTTGTGTATCTTACTGCGCGCGCCGATTCCGCCGATTGAATTTCGAACACTGGTCCCGCCCCCATATATAACAAGACACAATTGTCTATCTATTATTATCCTTATCAATTATTAATTAGTTGTTTCTATATCTTTTGTTTACTGATGTTATCAGAATGCAGTAAATAAGATAACTACAAAAACAAATCCGAATTGCCATAATATATCTTATCTCTATTATTCATTAACTCCAAATTATAACAGGAATCTTAATCTTATCTTTTATTTTAAATTCTTTGAAATTATTCAAAATTAAGCATCAAAATCATCTATAAAAATGCAAAAGTCTAAACCTAACAAAAGTTCTACATCTTTCGGGATCATTCTTTGGGATCATAATTAGAACAATAAATAAACATTAATATTCTGACCAAAACCTCCAACCTTTTTCAAATATTATTTTATCCATCATTTCTATCATTGATTATACTTCAAATAACACAAAAGATCGGGATAACTTTCGGATTGACCTTGGAACATGTAATGGTGTGATTGGTCCAGCCTTGGGTTCCACATAATCACTGGCAATTTTTTTATCTTAGATTTTTTTGATACAATTTATTATATATCTTGGTTAAAAAAAAAAAAATAAAAGATATGATATTGCTATTTAATACTTTCCTCATGTGTGAATTCCTTTCTCCTCACATCCATCACAATGATAATTCAATACATTTGATATTATCATTGACATAACAAACAATTGCATTACCCAAGTAGTAACAATATCAAGGCCATGCAGAAACGAAACTTTTAACAATGACTGTCTACCCAGATCTCTGGAGTTCGCAAGAATAAAAAAATAAATGGGGAGGATCAAAAAAAATATTATAGCTCCCATTGTATAGTTCTTAAAATGAATAATAAATCTGATGTTTGATCACAAGTGTCAGATTTAATTAAAATTTTCCTATCACAAACATGTCAACAAGTGCTTTCACACACCTCATAACCATGGAATTTTTCTCCACAGGTAAGGTGAAAACATGTTGGAAGGCTTTAGACAAAACTTTTCTTATATTACTCTCAGACCAGGCTTGGCTGTTATCAAATGGGCATTGATCACTGATGAAGATCGGCATTGGTGTGATGGCTGCTTTGTGTTATACCCCTCTCTAGAATAAAGTTGGTGTTAAGGCTGGTACGAAATTCTGCAACTCAGGAGGTTGCAACCTAGGTTGCTGTTTTGGATTTTCCTAAATTTAGGCACACCAACAACCCTACCCCATTTAAATGACAAGTTCAGTTGGTCAAATAAAAATTAAAGAAACAGAAAATTTATGAAAATGATTAATTTATAACATACCAAACAAAATCTTATCCATTTTATTTTACAGATTCTCATTGCTTTGAAGTTGCTCTATAATAATTATATTTGTCAGTTATTGATACAGAATTGACAAGTAATATTAAATATTTTTTAGTAGTTATACCTCGAATGCATGCAGTGTGTCCAATCCATTTGAAAACATATAGCATGCCTTGGCAGTTCCACACTTGGGTCTGGATGTTTACATGGCATGACAATTCATCAACAGAGTTGCAACTTGGTCACAGATCCATCCTTACCCTGGAGATAAGATCGTTGCAGGAAACTTGACAGCTTTCTCTGGTCTGGATGCTGTGAAGATTATTAAAAGTGTCATTGACAATGATGCAGCCTTGATACAGCTCCAGGACCATACTTCCCCCCCTGGAAATTTTAATTGCATCATTGTATCCTTGGGGATCGCAGGTTGGTTTAGCCTTGTGTACATAAGGAACATATGAGAATGACTGTAAAGTGTTCAAGGTAGAGTGCGTGCCTTAACGCTTGCCAATTTCCGATAATCAAACGTTGCATATTCGAATTGTTTCTTTTTCAACAGTCAATGCTGCCTTGACATCTTGTAATCAATATTATTAATGTTAATGTTATTAATATTGATTACAAAAAAGCAAAATACCAATTGTTTACTATCTTGATGAGATTCTTGTAATTACCCAGCAAGATCTCTGCAATTTGATTTCAATAATATACATTATATAAAATAAAAGACATATCAATGCAATTAAAAAAAAGTACCTCTGGTTAGTTATTAACACGTCTTCTTTAGGAGAACCGCGTTTTGTCATTTGTTTTCCAAAAAAAAAAAAAAAAAATCAATCACAAGCCATTTTATTGGCCAAATTTTGTCGATCTTATTTCAAATCATCACACAAAACTAATTTTTTGATTGGTTTTTGAAAATTTTTAATCACATTTCTAAAATGTTACACATGCTCATTTTTATTTATTTTTTTATTTCCATTTAACGAATTATAATTAAATTCGCATTACAACAAATTTTAAAATTTACTTCACATATATATATATATATACATGTAAAAACATATAAAACGCGATTAGTAATTTTAGTATAACAAACTTTTAAATGTAATAATTTTTTATATAGTTTCAAATTAAATTACGTGCAGATGATTGAATCAATTTAATCTTTCAAGACATCCTCAAAATGTTTGAGTCCTTCAAGACCAATTCAATCACTTTATAATTAACCAACATGTATATAAACAACTAAAATTT